GGCGCGGACCCAGTTTTCATTCTTGACAGGGCAAGGAGCACCTCTTCGGGGTTGGGGGGCTCGTGCAGGTCTGCGGCTAGGTCTTCGGGAACTTGCGGGAGATCGCGTAGGAAGGGGTGCGCCACGAGGGTCGCACGGTCCACCGCCGATTCGGTGGTTGCCAGGGCCCGGAAGTGGGCGCTGAAACCGGAGACCGATGGTTGGCCTGGTGTTGCTGGCGCGCCTGGGGTTGTCGGCACTGAAGGGACGCGTCGCTCCCGCACTTCGGTGCGGTGGGCGTAGCGCAGCACCTCTGGGTGAGCCGAGGGCCCGACCCGTCCGTGGTAGGCTGTGGCTGCGTTGGTACAAAGTCGTAGCTGTCGCTGGTAACGGTCGAGGAGCTGCTGCAGGTAGCCCCGCATTAGCGGGGTCCCCGCGCCGCCCCGTCGCACGATCCGAATTCGCAGAGAGGTGTCTCGGAGCTGCTCGGCGTGCCGCCGACGCAGTGCACGACCCTCCGCCACGCACGCCACCCGCCAGCTGTCTTGAAGCCGGTCAAAGGTCAAGGGGTCTGGTGCCGCTCCACGGAGGGACCGGCGCAAAACTTCTCTCAGGCAGTCGCGGCTTGTTTTGTCTCGCAGCAGTCGGGTGTCGAGACGCCAGGTGCGTTGAGAACTGGCTTTGCTGCTGAATCGGAGCTCTACGAGTACCGGACGGTGGTCGGAGATGTACGTAGTGGAGGGAGGGAAGTTCACTGCGCAGCAGGTGGTGACAGAGGGGCTCAGAAACTCGGAGATGTAACACCTGTCCAGGCGACTGCTCGAGTTTCCTCGTTGCCAGGTATGCTCGAAAGCGGTGCCATGGAGCAGAGTCCAGCAGTCCACTAGGTCGAAGTGTCGCATCAGGCGTATCAGCTCGCCGGCGTTCCACGTGGTGCGTCCGTAGCCTGGGCCCCTGACATCGCGCCGGGAATCGACGACGCAGTTGAAGTCGCCGAGGAGCAGGCAGTGGCGAGCGTCGAGCAGATGGACGTCCAGGCTCTTGAAAAAAGCCGGGGATTGCGAACGTTGGGCTGGAGCGTACACGCCCACAGCACGAAAGCGCGTGCCGTCTACGAAGAAATCAAAAGCGATGTACCGCCCGTCGGGGTCAAAGCAGCACGCGCTGAGACGGAGGAGCGAGCGGTTAAAGATAATGACCCCCACCCCCGAGCTCCGTGTAGTGGCGTATGAAAAGAAACAATCCACCCCATATCGCTGCTTGAAGATGTCCACGTCGCGCTGCCTGTGGAAGTTCGTTTCTTGCAGGAACAGGAGGTCGCAACGGGCGGTTCGGGCGAACTGGATGACCTCGATCTGTTTTGTCACGCTGCGGAAGCCCTGAACGTTCAGGGTGATGACTCGCAGGTGCGCGAAAAGGGGATGGATGGGGGGGGGGGGGGGGGTCGTTGTGTTCACTGCTAGTCCGTGGATGTATCGGATGTGATGCACGAGCTGTCAGACAGCGCGACGAGGTCCTTCCGCAACCGCTTGGGAGCCGCTGCCGATGTTGGAGTGGATCCTGGGGACCCTGATTCGCCGCTGCTGGAAAGATCTCGCTTCCCGTCTTCGGCACCGCCATGCGGGCTGCGACTGCGGCTGCAGGTTTTTCGGAGTTCCTCGGAGGTGCCGCGGCGACGATCTCGGCCGCGCGGCAGAGCACTGTCTTTGTCGTGGGCAACCTCGTCGATGACGAGGCGGTCGTCGAACGATGAGGCAGAGTCCTCCGTAATGTCGCTCCAGCTGGGAAGCGGGCTGGGGCAGAGTTCTGGCGTTCGCGGGCGTTCCTCCTTCACCAGTACTTCCTCTGAGCCGGGACTGGTAGGAGTGGGCGCGTGCACAGATGCGGTGTGGACCACATTCGAAAGCGCGGCCTCGGCGCCGTCCTGTGACGCGTTCGAATTCGCGTCGGTGGCGCTTGCCGGCTTCGACTGTTGCGATGTCGGGGCGAGCTCGGACGGGGTCGTCACTGGGGGCTCGGCGGGGGCAGGCGTGTCGCCGGACCCTTGGGTGGCGGCCGTCGCCGCAGGAGGGGGATTAGGGGTGGTAGGAGGCCTGCCCTGGGACTTCGGAGTCTGGGACGCCGGAGTCAAGGCCGGGAAGTCGTCCTGGCCGTAGCCGGCCACGGCCGAGTAGCTGCGACGCTGGGTGCAGTCCACCGTGGCGTGGGCCGCTCCGCAGCGTCCGCAGCCGGCCGCGCAGCCGACGGTGTCGTGGCCGAAGGCGGCGCAGCGGGCACAATAGGGCACGTTACAGGCCGCCTTGAGGTGGCCCTCCTGCTGGCAGCGTCGGCAGACTCTCTTGAGACCGCGGTAGTCGAAGGTGGCCCGATGACCGGAGACGCGGAGGAAGTTCGGCACCGGGGTAGACTCCTTCATCTCCATTCGAATGTAGCGGGTACCCGTCCGGAGGTTGGGGTGGTCCTGGTAGACGCCGAAGCGAATATCCAGAACCTTCCCGTAAAGCGACAGGGCGGCGGCGAGGGCTTCGTTTCTCACATAAATCGGTAGGTAGAGGCACGTAATGGACGTTACTTGCGGGCCTACCGGGACGATGGGGACGCTTGTTCCGCCGATGGTCAGAGCCCCGGCGTTGACGATTCGGCTCATGGCCGATGACGATGTAACAGACATCTGAAAGTTGCTGCCTCCCAGATGCTGCACGGAGAACAATTCGGCAGTGCCGACAATTGCCGCCGCCGCGTCGAAGATGGAATCCACCGACGCGCCGGGCGGGCAGGAAACATCGAACGTACATGCCTTCGTAGGCTGGGCCGGCGATGCGGGTGTCATGGCACCGCTGACAACGTAGACGAAACGGCCTACGTTGCCATGGAAATCGCCATCTTGGTCCATTTAAATCTTCGAAGCTTTCAGGGGGTCGTTCTAAACCTGTCGCGCCAAGATCACCATGGAGCATCATCGTACTGAAAGCGTTCCTCTTCAATATAAGAGTCTTTGGCACTTCGTATGCGATCAACTTATTAATCAGGCCCATCTCCATGGATCTCTTACAATTATATTGTTCCTCTTGCGCATTTCAAGACAGTAAACTTATTTTTCAGTGCCTCCAAGCACCGACACAGCATCTGGTGGTGGTACGAACGTGTACGCCTGTTTCGCCGGTGTGTGGTTAGCAAAATCTCGGTATACAAAAAACGACTCAATAAAGCTACCCGTCACCAGCGAATCTAGATAGGCTCACCAAGAACGGAGGGGTCAAAGAGAAATTGCTCATTTTATGGACCAAGATGGCGACCACACGCGGAGCTTGGCGTTACTTTCCCAGGATCCAGTGACTTTAATCTGGATATGTAGCCAGCTTGAGCCGTCTACAGACACCAAATTTTAGAAGAGATATGACATTCTCACGAGCGTGTTTTGAATTCACCGTCAAATTCAATACTCAAAGTAAAAAATTGCACCCCACGTAAAACGGCCTTCTCAACAATCACACCACTGATTTGTCAGTTAGTAATAACGTTTAGAAGCCTAAAATAACTTGCCCATGCTTAGCATTACAATCCTCGGTGATTCGGTATCAAAATTAAGCCGATCTCCTATGTTGAATTTCCAGAACGTGGAGTAGATATTCTCAATATTAGCAGAAAGGAATTTTTGGGTAGTCCAAATTGGGCATGTCCACGCTTTGCCGCCTTGGAGCCCACACATTTGCTAACTTGGCCCCCGCAGAGGAGGGACCCACGGTGGTTTTAGTTAGGGAGCCTTAGTCGGGCATGCACACGCTTTGCCACTGTGGAGCTCGCCCTATCGCTAACATGGCCAACGCAGAGCCTAGGAGGACGCACGGGGGTTTTAAATGGGCAGCCCAAGTCGGGCCCGCCCATGCTTAGCCGCCGTTCAGCCCATACAATTGCCTTTAGCCCCTGTACAGCCGAGGTGGGTCCCACGGAAATTTTATATTCTGGCAGCCTAAGTAGGGCATGCCCACGCTTTGCCACCATGAAGCCCCCATCATCGTGAACCTGGCTTCTGCAGAGCTGAGGTGTGACCCACGGGGATTTTACATGGTCTGTCCTACTCGGGCGCGCCCAGGCATAGCCACCGTGGAGCCCACGTCATTGCCTTTGGCCCCCTTAGAGCCAAGGTGGGTCCCACGGGAGTTTTATAATGGCAGCCCAAATCGGGCATGCCCATGCTTCGCCGCCATAAAGTCCCCATTTCCGTAAACTTGACCGCCGCAGAGCCGAGGTGGGGCACACAGGGGTTTTACATGGGCAGTCCAAGTCGAGCCCGCCCATGCTTAGCCGCCGTTTAGCACACATCATTACCTTTAGCCCCCGTACAGCCGAGGTGAGTCCCACGGAAGTTTCATACTGGCTGCCCAATTTGGGCGTGCCCACGCTTTGCCGCCATGGAGCCCCATCTTCGTAAACTTGGTCCCCGCTGAGGCGAGGTGGGACCCACGGGGGTCTCCCATGGGCAGGCCAACTCGGGCACGCCCGCGCTCAGCCCACATCATTGTCTCTGGCAGCCCGTGAAGTTGAGGTGGGACCCACGGGGGTTTTACATGGCAGTCCAAGTTGGGCATGCCCGCGTTTTGCAACCATGGAGCTTACTTCACCGCAACTTGGCCCTCTCACGGCCAAGGTGGGACCCCCGGGGGTATTGCATAGTCAGCCCAAGTTGGGCATGTCCATGCTGTGCCCAAATTTACCCTCGGATATTCGAGGGGGGATACACCGTGGCACTGCCTGGGCACCCATATTGCGCATACCAACGCTTCGCCCACGTAGGACCGACGTGGATTTTCTATGGGCTACCGAGCCCCCCTTGCTCACGTGGCCCCACGTTGGTCCCACCTCTTGTGCTACTTGGTAACGCTCAAATTCGAGCAACGACGTTGTAAAGTCATATGAATATGGCAGCCTAATGTAGTTTGCTGCGCTTATTTTTCGCTTAGATTATCACAACAAGTTGCAAATTTATCTCCAGTGCTGCGGGAGTTGCGATGTAAACTTACCCCATAGTTGAAGTAGCTGCTGTGCATTATTGATCTCTGTGCAGTAACAATAAAAATGATAATTAGGAGGAAGTTAGAGGATGACCACGCATAAAACAACGGCTACTAATTTTGTCAGGATACGTCGGCAAGCTCCATACTTGCTGTGATAACGAGAATGACTGTTGATCGTAAAAGTTGTCTTATGGGCCTATCCATCAGCGCAAAACGTGTTTAAAAAAAGCCTCACAATTGTAAACCAGCCTGTCTTCATCCAATGTGTACGCTTGTTTGAATAAAAACATCTAATAGAACCGTTTCAACGTAAAACACTTAAGTTTTCGCGTTTTCCAAAACTTAGTCAATATTTGCGGACAGAACTATAGTCGGATGCAACCTGAGAACAATCTTTTAGCTCCACCCACAAGCGCATTGCGCCCATCTGAAGTGCCTCCGCCGTCGAGAAAGTAGTTCGCTAGCAACGTTGCTTTTTCTTCCTCCAGGAAACGTGTCTTAAACTACTACAATATTTATTTAATTCATTCAGGACATTTAAATAAGTTAGAATACGTTTTTGTCAACGAAACTGCTGTTTAGTAAAGAAAGAAAGTCATGTACAATGTACCGTCTTTCAAATTCATTTTCTGTCCAAGATACTGTCTAACATACCGTCTAACATACCTCTCAGCAGCGCTAAGCCTCGCGCCCGCTTCGAACTTTTCGTTGGCGATAGCGTCGCTGGATTCTCACGTTGTCGCGCAAAAACTGTTGCAAACGCAAGCCGATACCATTAAGATTTCGCGGCGTAACCTCGGGCACGTAAAACACGGTGCAAGAAAGCAGAATAATTGTCCCGAGAAACTAGCGTCGCGTTGCTAAGGCCAGCAGCCATGTTGAGCTTTTTTTTTTTCAAAAAGAACGCGATTGGTCCACGGAATCGTGACGTCATGAAAACGATTGGCTGGCGTTTCTCGGCGTAGGATTACATTTTCCTCTGGGAGGCATTTCCGGTTTTTAGAGCGCAGCTCTTAGGGGCCCGTTCCCGGCTTGAGCGGCGTCGGCGTCGGCGTCGGCGTCGCCGTCGGCGTCGGCGTAACTGCAACCCTCGTAACCCTCGTGAGGGTTACGAGGGTTACGAGGGTTAATCTCATGAGGGTTACCCTCACGAGGATCACGAGGGCCACGAGGGTTACTTACCCTCGTAACCCTCACGAGGGTTACGAGGGTTCGTTACCCTCAAAAGGGTTACCTTCACGAGGGTTACCCTCACGAGGGTTACTAACCCTCGTAACCCTCGTGAGGGTTACGAGGGTTAGTTACCCTCAAAAGGGTTACCTTCACGAGGGTTACCCTCACGAGGGTTACTTACCCTCGTAACCCTCACGAGGGTTACGAGGGTTAGTTACCCTCAAAAGGGTTACCTTCACGAGGGTTACCCTCACGAGGGTCACGAGGGTTATGAGAGTTACCCTCACGAGGGTCACGAGAGTTACCCTCACGAGGGTCACGAGAGTTGCTTTCACGAGGGTTACTAGGGTTACCCTCACGAGGGTCACGATGGTTACCCAGGTCACGTGACCCCCCGTTGATGCCATAGCCACTGATGACGTCATCAGTGACGTCACTGATGACGTCACCGGCATCCGCATTGTCATCATCATCATCACTGATGGCGTCATCAGTGACGTCACTGATGACGTCATTGGCATCGTCACATGGCCCCAGGTCACGTGACCCCCCGACGTCACGTGACGCCCCAAGGTCACGTGACTCCCACAAGGTCACGTGACCCCCCCCCGAGGTCACTTGACCCACCCCCCCGTACCCTTCCCTCCTCCTCCTCAAGAGCTGCGCTCTAATTCGGCGTTACAGGGAGTTGTAAACGGCTTTCATTTTTTCTTAGCTTGCAACCGACTATAATATTTTTGGTTTCCAGAGATTAAGCTTTCCGTAGAGAAGAAAATTATGTTTTTACGATAATTACACAGTCGCGGCATGTAGTTTTCAACGTCTAGCTCAAACATCAGGAGATTGTACATCACTTGTCATGTAGTCCATTCTCGTTTGCATTACATCTACAAAAGAAGTTAACTTACAAGGTCGCACATTTCGCTTACGAGTTCGGTTATTGTTAAACAATTATCATCCATATAGTTTGTCCATTTTTCTTCCACCTGCACAAGGAAAAAGCACACATATCGCATAAGGTGGCCGACAGGTAATATACTAGTTCTTGGAAAATTTACAAACACTATGCGGCTGCGCTCTCTGTAATACTCGGTTTGTTCGTAGAATAAGGCTATAATTCAACGGAGGACATCTTGAATATGTGTGCAATGTATATGTTCTAGAGCACAACTCTTAGGCGCCTGTTTCCGGCTTGAGCGGCGTGGCCGTCGCCGTAGGCGTAACCACGCGGTGCATTATGGGTAAATTTTCCCGAAGGAACCCGAGGTCCTACCGAAGGATCTCGGGCTTCTTCGGCAGGACCTTGGAATAACCTTGGTTTCCTTCGGGAGGACCTCGGAGGACCTCGGGTTTCTTCGGGAGGACTTCGGAAGTTCTTCAGGTTCCTTCGGGAGGACTTTGGGAGGACCTCGGGTTCCTTCGGGAGGACCTCGGGAAAACCTCGGGTTCCTTCGGGAGGACCTCGGGTACCTTCGGTGACCTCGGGGAGGGGGGGGGGGGGTCACGTGAATCCCCGAGGTCACATGACTCCCCCCTCCCGAGGTCACGTGACCCCCCCCCCCCCCCGAGAACACGTGACCCTCAGTGCCCTTCCCTTCTCCTCCTCAAGAGCTGCGCTCTAATTCGGCGTTACAGGGAGTTGTAAACGGCTTTCGTCTTTTTTAGACAAGACATACGACGTAAATGTCTCTTAGGTATGTATATTCATAAGCAGGCGAAGAAACGCCATGTCAACAATAGCAAGGTCACTAAAGCCCACACAAGAAAGCCGTTAGGAAAGATAAACGTATTGCGTTGTTTTCAACGGAGGTTTCCGGCCTTTTTCCTACATAAAAATGAACATTATATGCAATATTCTTAATTGTATCCTATTAGCTTACCGAGGAGCTCCAAAATAGCTAAATGTACTTACAGGTGTAGATACCTTTTTCAGTAGGCAGTGCATAATTTCTTCCGTTTTGTTAGGATTTCTATACCAAGCACCTGTTCGGGGAGACAATACAATGGCGACTTGAGTTATGATTACCATAAAAACAAAACAGCTCTATTACATGACTGAACATTTTAATTTCATCACGTCCCCAGCGCCATTATACCACTGGCTAATATCACAAATAAACCGTTACTTTTAAAGAGCCCAACATTACCAGCAAAGCGTCAAGAAGGGCCCAACCTAATATTAGCTCGAGATAACTGTCTTAGCTTGAAAAACTCACTGGATAACACAGGATGAAGAGTTTAGTGCCCTTATAAACTAAAATAATTGCATCAAATTGAATACCTTATTTCAACCGCTTTGATATTACGTTACTATCTTCGAATATTCAACAGCTACCGACTCTTAGTAACTTAAATATTTTAATTAGGTTAAGTATTAAATATCAATTCGGGCTTCTAAATATTCGCATCCAAGATTCACTTGTTGCAATAGCCAATGACGATTCAGAACCGCAGGACGTGACCTGTTATGTAAAACGCTTCTTACTTTGTGATTTGTACCACATTCTTACAGTCTAGTGCTGCAATCCTATCGGTCGGTACGTGATACTAAGAGGCTTAAAACTCAACGTGGCCTTTGCCTTTTTTTTTTTTTTTGTGCTGTCGGAGGTTGTGGTTGGCCGATATTTTTTTATTTGTGTTTTATTATTTAAAGAGGTAAGACATTTCAGCCTTTTCCTTGACTAAGTGATTTCGATGGGGAATGGGGGTGGGGGGACCATTTTATACTCATGTTACACAGTGAATTTGCCACCCACTTTGCTGAGCCAGGTGCACCCGCAGGCAATATGAAGGTGAACGGCGGACCGTCGACCGGTGCGTGCTATCAGCGTCATGACGCGGCTGCCGTGGCGGCTCGCTTCGCCGAGATTAAAGGGACCATGAAATGACCTTTTTACTTTTTCCAGATAACTTTTACATTAAACCGTCAATGTTCACTGAATGCCGAACAGGCATCCGTTTTCGTCTCGGTTTATTAACTTTTACACAAAAAATTATTGAAATATCGACTTTTTCATTCTCTCCAACTGACCGCAAAAGAAGCCGTGACGTAGACCGTTTCCGGAACCGGAAGTTCTCTCGGCAGTAGGAGAATGGGAGTGTTAGCGGCAACGAGTTGGGGTGCGCCGGTAGGTTTTACTGCGCTGATGTCACCGACGTATTTCCTGAATCGGCGCCTCTTATCGCCGCATCGCAGCTGAGCGAAATTCAATGAGATATGTTGCGCTACAGCGACAGCATGGGACTAGTCCCATACGCCGGTATGCCTGTTGGGAAGTGCAGCGAGTCTTGTCACCACCCCGTCATTGTTGGCAGAAGGGCCGGCCCGTGTCAGTCGTTTGCAAAGCGACGTAGATGGCGTTTTTCGCGGCCTCGGAGATGCAGGAGCGAGCCGACGTTAAAAAAGATACGTTTGAACTACGAGTGTCAGCAAGAGCCACGTAAATACCTGTTTACACTCGGAGCGGACGCGCGCGCTTGATGGAAGTCTTGTATTCGCGCTGTTGGTAAGCGCTTCGGGACCGTTCTTTTACGATTGCAACTCGATACTGACGCGACACTCGGCAAAGAAAGGTTGGACCGGGGTCGACAGTGACGTGCAGTCTGTCAGAATAAAAATGGCATACCAATAACAAAGTGTACATACCGTGTTACGAAGGCAATCCATACGGCGTTTATTTCAGCTCTATATCACACAAAACAAGAAGATAGAATCGACGAGAGTCCCTTTTCGACGAGTGTTCGTCAACACTGCCTCGGAAAACAAGGGGAAGAGATTGACCTCCTCACCTCTTAATCAAGAATTGAGGTCAGTGATCAAACTATAATACGGGAAGGGTCCACAAGGGTCGCGCGGGCATATTCCATTTAGCACGCCAGCCGGTCGTAGGCAGACAGACGGTCTTGCGACGAAGCAACGCAGCGCCGAGTCGGAATGCCTGCTAGGCCTATACGCTTCGTCGGAGTCGGTGAATCCAGCGTTCTTGTTCGTCGTGGTCTGTTTTAAGTACTGTTTTCTTGCTGCTTGAAGTCGGCACGCGCGGGAAGAACACGTAGAAAAATAAACGTTCAGTCAGTCAGAGTTTTGAGAGGAAGGAAAACAAAGAAAATAAATGTTCGTCGGTCGCCGTCACCCAAGTAACTGGCGGCCCTGCCCTACTGCGCACGCGCAGTAGTTGCTTCGTTTACCACACGATAGATGGCGCTTGGCTCTCAGCATTATCAAATTTGGCAATTTTCGCCACACATCTCTAATTATGCTACAAAATGTGGATCTGAATATTATTTAACAAAACTTTTAGGAAACATTCGCCGGCTATTTATTGTTTACGATCGCGGTGCTGGTGAGGTAGGCTCCTACCCAATAGGCGATGTGGATTCGGCTGACGTGCACCGATTCTGCGTATGCATCGTAGTGAACAGGCGAAGGAAGGAAGGCGCAAAAGAGTCCAGTTTTCTTTTAAAAGTTCTATAGCAAAAAATTTTTTTGGGCTCCCTATTTTTGTGTTTTTGTGTTTCTTTTCACACCTTTTACGACGTGCGGTGGATGAAACTCGATTTTAAAATCATTTCATGGTCCCTTTAAGCGCTTATAGATTGAGCGCTGTTCTCAGCTCTGATGCTACTCCCCGCAGAAAGCGTGGAAGTAGGTTTCGATTTCGGCATCGTTTTTGTGCGCGCCGTGCCCCCGTCATAGCCGGCAAATGATTTGCATATTACACGTGAACTAGAGCGGACGTCCTTCGGCATGGTTTATCAGTGACTCAACCGCTTTTTTCATTCATGAGTGAACGCTATACTTCGTTTTAGCTTAGGTCCGAGCGCGGCCTATGTTATGTATGAGCCGAAGGGCTAATCATACAACGCAAAAAGCGCAGCGTCATGGCGTGCTCTCTGTGCTGTATAAAACTAGCCGGCAGAGGAGCACGCACAGAGAAACGGCGAATACCGGCTGGTCCTATCAACTGCAGAAAACGCGCCATGACGTTGTGCCTCTTTCGCTGCTTGATTGGCCCTTCGGCTCATAACATCGGCCGCGCTCGGACCGAAGCTGAAACGAAGTATAATAACTGCGAACGCTAATAACTGTTCTTTTTAAGAAACGAAAGGGTATGTTACTTTTTGATTTGTTCCGCAGCCTTTCCGGTTTAACACATATCTAAAAAAGAAATTACTAAATCCTCTTGTCTACCGATAGCATCTGAAAGGCTCCCTCCGCAAACCTCGCGCTTTCTGCGGGGAGTAGCAGCGGAGCTGAGAACAGCGCTCCATCCAATCGCTTAAAGGGGCGGTGCAACAATTTCGGGACTTTGGCTAATTAATTACGGGAATTGATCCCGGACACATATAAAACGAAGGACCGAAAACTATTCTTTCCTGCTTGCCCTAGTTTTCATTAAAAAAAATAAAAGAAATTGGTATCTCTGGCACCCCTCAACTCAACATTGAAGCGGCACCAGCTTCGCCTGTGACGTCATTCGGAGTGGCGTTGGTTTCCGGTTGGTTTCTTCTGGCTTCCGTTTCCCCAGCGCTCGCCGGCTCGCCAGGCTCGCCGCCCTCCCGCTCTCCCGCCGATTCCCGACCAACATGGCGGCATGGGCGGACGGCCTGAGCGACGTCGAGCGCAAGATGCTTGCGTACACACTTAAAATTTTTACACCCTTATTCGTGTAAATGGCTCGTCCTCTGGCTAACGCCTTTATTCGTGTAAGGGTGTTAGCCGCCGGAGGTGGTGAAAATCGTGTTAACTGCTAACACCCTAAAAACAATATGGCGGCCAGTATGCGACAGGCGATACGAGCCTGGCGAGCCGTACGCGGCTTCTCGCCGGAGCAAGAGCATACGGCTCGCACGCTCGTTTGGTGTCATCTGTAGGCGCAAAAAAACTTTCCAAACATCTCCATGTCCAAGCGCCAACACCGCAAATAATACGAGTAAGGCAGAAACCGCTGGAGACTGAACAGCCGAGACTGTCGCCGAAGTCTCGCTCGGCCTGCTCAATGCCGGTCGCATTTTCATCGCATCAGAAGCGCTTATAAAGAAGGGATAGCTTTACAAAACACTGACAGGCTGGCTTTATTGAACAAAACGCCCACTTGCCGTGGACAAGTTGACAACGAATCGCTCCGACACCCTCTGTCGACAGCGGCTAGGAGGTATCGCAGTCGCGCTCCGTGTGGCTCTCGATTAACTATTGCCTGTGCTCACCTCTGTTACGTGCGTTATCCACTCATGAACGTTTGTGCGTGAACAGCGGCATTCAGCACCTAGAACACGCGCTGGGGAAGCCGCCTAACCTCCTTTTGTTGCAATCAGGCAGCATAACACGGCGACACAGCTGCCAGCGGAACCGAACAACTCGGAGCGATCAACACGACGGATGGACTAATGGCATCCAGCCCTCTAATAGTTATAGATCATCAACCGCCACACTTTTCAAATTGGGCGGCGACAACCCCCATCTAGCGACGAAAACAAAAAGTGATAAACATTTGAAAAAAGAAAACAGCAGTTTCTTTGCTGCCCACCGCGCGGTTACATTCACTCACGACATCGACATTCACACAACACTCTACATACACACGCGCATACAAGCACTGATCAATAGCACAACACACAACAAATAGTACATACAACCTACTTATACAATCGGACAACTGCCCCGAGCGGTATATATGCCCTCCTATTTCGCGCATCGGTTAGCCCAGTGACCACGCTAGTCTTAATCAAGATATGAAAAGATTACGCCAATTTTATTTTTCAATAATATTTTTTCTGCATTTGTCTTAGGTAGGTACCCATATCCCTTAATAACGTCTTACAGCATAATGTATTATAATGATACGCGCCTAACTTCTAGTAACTCAACGTGAGTGACGAGAAAAAAAAATCGTGTGAATTCTGTCTGGCAACCACACTCCCGGCGTGGTTGCTATGGCGACGCTGTCGGTACGCGCGCCGGCAGCCGTCCAGCTGGTTCGGCC